TAACTTATGACAAAACTACAATAATTTATGAATTATGAAGGGTTCAGGAGGGAGGGGAAGGGAGTAGGGAGGGGGAAATGAGCAAATTATATCAAGGGCTAAAGTAGAGGGCAAATGTTTTGAGATTGATGAGGGCAACAGGTGTACATATGTGCTTGACTCAATGGATGGATGGATGGACTGTGATAAGAATTGTACGAGCCCTCAATAAAATAATTTTTTTTTAAACTTGTCATGCTTTTGATGAAATACCACATTTGTATTCCCTTACATTTGTTGCTTCAGTAAACAAACATATAACACAAAGAGAAAACGTGCCAAACAACTAGAGGGTGAGATGCTGTCCGTTGTTTCTGTTGTATGTTATGCCCCAAATTCCCATTCCCACAAGATATTATGAGTGAATTACACTTTTCCTAAAAGTGTTCAAAGAGCCAAAAAATATTGTTAGAATAATTTCTGTAAGTTCAGCAGAAGCAGAAAGGGGTTCTTCAAAGATGAACAGACTATGTTCAGAGAAGAGAAGTCACCTGTTTCTAATATATCAAACACAATGACCATTGTCTACCTCTAAAGGAATAGGCTCCTACTCCTACAGTGAACAGATGGCTACGGATAAATAACACAGCCACTGATACTTGGATAAAAGCATATTTCAAGTGAGGATGCCAATCAAGAGGCAATATGAAATATCTTAAATAAGAGTTTTATTGTTTTTCTCAGGTATTATTTAGTATTTTTCATTGATATTTTAAAACTCTTTCTTATAAACTAATCTAGTTTGTGTAAATCTTTTATCACTCTTTATTGTTCTTATTTAAGTGTTAATTATATGAAGTAATAATGACCTTTCAGTATATCATTGTTTAATACTGAAAACAGTCACTTGGGCATCAAACTGGTTCTTGAATTACTTGAAAACTACCACTAACACACATGCACATGCTCTCTCTCTCTCTCTCTCTCTCTCTCTCTGTCTATCTCTATCTCTATCTCCAAACTCTGATATATGAGGGAGTACCCAAGAAAATCTGGAATATTTTTCAAAGCTATATATTTAAATTGTTTTATAAAACCACCCTATATATCACCTTCAAAGTACTGTCCATTACACTTAATGCATTTATCAAATCTACAGTTCCATTCTTGGAAACGTTTTTCAAACTCATCTGTTTGGATGGCTGACAGCACCTCCTCGCGTTTTTATTCACCTCTTCTATGTCATCAAATTGCTAGCCTTTCATGTCCTTCTTCATTTGCAGAAACAAAAAGAGGAGTGATTTGAACCACTGACCTTGTGGTTAGCAGCCTCACATGCTCACTATGCCACCAGAACTCCATATATGGTGTCAAGTAACACAATTTTCATGGAAATTTAGCTGTTAGTTCTTGAAAGCTCAGGAGCACCCTTCTGAGGTGGGATAAGTCTGAGGTGAAATACTAGACTTTCTGTCTTTGAGATCACCTCCCAAATAAAGGAATTCGTCTTTGCCTGAGTTCCTGTCCCTGGAGGGTTCTCAAACTGCAGTAGAATTCCATGTAAGTCAGGGTTAGTCCCTTAAAGACAGATTGCTCTCTGGGGAAATGTGACATGGAGAATGCAAAGAAGTCCTTCTGTGCCTAGTGTTTTCATCTGAAATTGGGAATAATGATAGATCCTACCTCTTAAGAGTTTTCATGAAAATTCAGTGAGCTGAGCCATGCGAAAGGAGCCCTGGTGGAGTAGTCAGTTATGCATTTGGGCTGCTAACCACAAGGCCAGCAGTTCGAAACCACCATCTTCTCCTGGAGAAAGATGACATTTTCTACTGACTCCTAAAGGAATTACAATCTTAGAGACCCACAGGGGCAGTTCTCTTCTGACCTCCAAAGTGGCGATGAATCAGAATAGAGGCTGTGGCAGAGAAAATCCATGGAAATTTAGAGTGTGAGGCCTAGAGAGAGTGAAATCTCTGAGAGCCGGAAGTCTTTAGCACTGCCTTGTTTTCCAGGATCTCAAACATTTTCCACCTTTGATAAGGTGCAGTCTTACTATTTTTCCAAGTCTCATCTCAATGGAAAAGACTGTTTTTCCTTCTCAGACTGTTTCCACCTCACACGGCTCCTGGGTTTTGCAGGTTTTACTGAATATAGTAATCACCTGAATGCATTGAGGTGATTTATTAGTAAGACAGTTAGTTCATCCAGGAGATTCAATGTTTCTCAGTTTCTCAACATTGTTCAGATACCTCTTGGTTAAGCCTAAGGAGCCTTGATCGTGCAGTGGTGATGAGTTGGGCTGTGACCCACAAGGACAGCAGTTTGAAACCAGCAGCCACTCTGAGGGAGAAAGATGAGGCTTTCTACTCCCATAAAGAGTTACAATTTCAGAAATATACAGGGGAAGTTCTACCTGGTCCTATAGGGTTGTTATGAGTCAGAATTGATTAAATGTCAGAGAAAGAGAGAGTGTGTTTTTAAGCCTAGACTTCCAAGAATTTTGTCAGTTTGGCCATTTTCCCCCTATTATTTCTTTCTAAAACTATTTGATTTATGAAATCATATTTTGCTGGGCCTTGCTCTTGACATACTCCCAAGATAGAGCCCTCTCAGCACAGAGATTTCATATAAGGGTGCATTTAGGGAACACACAGAGACAAAGGGGAAAATTTGCCATATAGTTGATTCCAACTCAGAAGACGGTATGGCTAGCCCCACTAAGAGACACAACATCCCTCACTGACCCATAGCCCTACAGGGGCAACACTGGAGACTCAGTGTGGGAATTCCGCCCAATCTGATCCCACCACACTGAGGCAAAACATTAAGGGTGTGCAACAAAACAGCAAGGGGAACATAGCAACGAAGTCCCCAGGGAATACCAAAAATAGACTTCAGGGCCAGGGCTTGGAGCCCCATCAGACTCAACTGGAAACACTCCTAAAGGCCAACAAACAGTCCTCGAACTAATTACAGGCTTTTCTTTGCTGTTGTTGTTGTTGTTTGTCATTGGCTTTTTGTTGTTGTTTTGTTTTCTTTTGTTGCTTTGTTTTGCTATGTCTTCTTTTTGTGCATGTCATTATCTCCGCAGGTCTGTCTAAATAAGATAG